CCTAAAATTTTAAATATTTTTTAATTCTTCCGTCAGTTTTAACAGTCAGGGACCAAATGCGCCACTTCGCTCATAACTGGGGGACTAAAAATGGATACGGTCATAACTCAGGGACTAAGTCGTTACTATCATTATAACTCAGGGACCAAACTTACTATTTTTTCTAAAATATAAAATAAAATATACATATGACAATCTTTTTTTTTTTTGAAAATATACATATGACAATCTAAACATGTTAATCTGCTAAAAATGCTAATTACATTTTTTTTTCAGGTTCATGAATCAATATGAAACTTATTCAAGTTCGATGGTTTAATTAGTATCCTCAAATAATATGACATATTTGTACCTTTTTCTTAATATATTTTATGTGATTTAGATCGTGATTAACACAAATGTGTGGGACATGATCTACGATCCACACATTGGGCAGAAAAGCGACCTTGCTTTATGTAAAAGTAGGCTCCGCTCCCCCTTTGGGATAATCAAGGTGAATAAAACAAAGGAATCACATTCTTCACCGAAGTGCAAACTGCAAAGTAAGGCAATTCTTTTTAGGAGTGGTGAATAAATTTTTTAATGTAAATAATTAATGAAACATGAGAATTCAAATTTTTTTAAAATGAAATTTTTTTCAATTATTTGAATAATTTTTTCTATAATTTTTATTGAGTTAATGCTCAATTTTGTCTCTCGTCTACTAAGATTTCATCATTTGATCATCGACTTATAAACTTACTTAATTTCATCTCCAACTATGCGATTGTTAACCAAAACGGTCCTAATCAAGACTATTTTAGTTTGGACAAAGAACTATTTTAGGAAAAACGGCATAGTTGAGGACTTGGGGATGAAATTGAACAGGTTTGAAAGTCGAAGATCAATGTAGTAAAATCATAATAGTCGAGGAATCACATCAGGTATTAACTCATTTTTATTCAAACAGACTATTGTGATATAATATAAATAAATTTCGTATTAATTATATATATAAAAAATAAAGTTTGTGAAAAAAAATAAAAGAAAAATGATTTACTAATCAATCGGTCCAAACTGTTATTTGATGTAATACTTTATTGTAGTAGAGATTAGAGAAGATGAAAAGTTGTGACGAAAAGAAAAGTTAGAATCACTTGAGATGTAAGACTTGTGGTATAATAATATATGAGTTAATACCCAAAATCGTCCTCGACTATAGTGGTTTTTCTCAATTTCGTCCTAAACGATTTTGGTGACCTAATATCGTCCCAAACTTTTGTGTTTCGTTTAATTTAGTCCCAGACTTTTGTGTTTTTGCTCAATTTAGTCCTTCATTTGTTATTCTGTCCATTTGGTGTTAAATAAATAGACAATTCAATAATTTTAATATTGGCATCTCTTTACTCATAGACATGTGAACTGCGAAATCCTTTTTTTTTTTACGAATTACTCCCAGAATTACTCCTAAAACTGCGAATATAAAATTTGATTTGCAGGTCCGGGAGTAATTCTGGGTGTAATTCGTACAAGAAAGAGGAATTTCGCACTTCACAAGTTGAAAGTAAAGAGAGATCAATATTGACATTACTGAATTGTCTCTTTATTTAACACCAATTTGACGGAATAACAAATGGAGGACTAAATTGAGCGAAACACTAAAGTCTGGGACGATATTAGGTCACCAAAGTCGTTTAGGACGAAATTGAGAAAAATCACTATAGTCGAGGACGATTTTGGGTATTAACTCAATAATATATCCTCAGTATCCTCAGCACTCTGTCTCTCTCTTTCAGAAAAAGTTGTAAAATCTTATGATTATTATTTTTTTTTTAAAACAATTCTTCTTCTTCTTCCTCCTCTGATCTTATAAGACAAAATATAATCTGTCTGTTTCTAAAATAAAGAAAAGTAGCCGTTAGATGCTTGTCCCCGCACCATTTCAAACTTCATTTACCTTTTTCTCTTAATTCTAATGTAATTAAAAATAAATAAATAAAAAAAGACAATAATGAAATAATAAAACAATATTGTACATAACATGAATAATGCCATATTCTTCTTCATGAACTTGAATGGTCTCTTGTGGTCAAGTGACATGGAGTGGCTCTCTCAAATGGGAAGTTTATGGGTTCAAGTTTCAGGTGGGCGGTATTGACTCTTTGTGCTTCAATAGGTTAAGTCAGTGGTACTCAAAAAAAAAAAAAAAAAAAAAAAACATGAATGATGCCATATTCTCCTTCTCAATATCCACCTATTTATATGAAACAGAATTTTATTGGATTTTTTTTTTAAAAAAAAATCTTATATTAGAAATAATAAGAAATCAAAATGTAATAATTAGCCAGAGTTGAAGACATGCTATTTATATAGTATTTTAGACTTTTAAACACTACTACAATACTTTTTTATTAATATTTTTTAATTTCATTTTAAAACATAGTCATTTGAAAACAAAACTCTTTGTTTTTTTTTTTTTTGAAAATAAAACACTTTGTTAAAACTCATTTAATTTTTATTAATATTTATATACCTTTTACTTTATCTAATTAAACTTGTTGAAACAATATTTAAAACATTATTTTTATTATAGGAACTTTACAATATATTTTTTGAAACTTTCAAACTAATTTTATTTAATTAAACATTTTTTAAAATGTTTAAACTTCTCACAACCTGTCAATGGCATTGTAGTTTAGTAGCATGAAGAGACACTCTCAAATAGGAGGTCATGGGTTTAAGTTCATGGGACAGTATTGACTCTTTGTGCTCCAGTAGGTTGAGAAAGTAGTTATGAACATATACTACATTGTAATAGAGTCAGTAATACTAAAAAAAAAAAAAAAAAAAAAAAAAAAAAAAAAACTGCCCAGAACCCATTTAATTTTTATAAATATGTCTTCTATTTTGTATGATTAGACATTTAGAAACAATATAAAAAAATTAATTTAATTCTAGGGAACATTATAACATATTTTTAGAAAGTGATGAACTATATTTTTAATTAAAAAAATCTGTCCAAATATTTAAAATTATTAGAATAAAATGGAATTTTTAATGTTTTTTCCAAATGGTTAAAATTCGAGAATAAAATTAAAATTAAAATATTATTTCCAATGTTTAAAATTCCAAGAATAAAGTTGAATTTTTAATATTTGCAAATGTTTAAAATTCTAGAATAAAATTATTTTTTAAAAATATTATTTCCAAATGTTTAATTAAGTAAAATTAATAAAAAAAAATATAAGAGTTGTAGCACAGTATTTTGTTTTCAAATGATTAAGCTCTTAAATAAAAACTTTTTAAAAAGTATTGTAGTAAAATAGTTAAATTTTAAAATATTATATAAATGATATAAGTTCAATTCTCACTAATAACATATGATCAATAAGATGGACATATTATGCAGTAAGATATACGATGTGATAATAACAATGTAAAAATGGTTAGTAACTGTCTGTCACGTCAAATGGTAAACATTAAAAAAAAAATAAAAATAATAACACTATAATGATAGTTTGCTTATCAAATGCTCTAAAAGTCTGCTTATCAAATGCTCTAAAAGGGTTATACTATGCACTTTTTTTTTATTTAAAAATAATGGTATAAGTTTATAATAATACTGTGATTTTGTATTAGTGGGGATAGAGAGAAACACGTAAGGCCGTGTTTGGTTTCAATTGCTATCCATTCTTCTTCTGGTCCGAGTTTCCATCGAAATCATTGAGTTACTAACACAGTAATTACCAATTGAACACCAATACATTCAAATTACATGCTATAATTTCAATATAAATTTCTTGCAATTTTATTTTAAAAGTGTGTGTCTATATATATATATATATATATATATATATATATATATATATATATATATATATATATATATATATATGTTGCAAAAAAAAAAAAAAAAAAAAACGCGGTGACAATTTGATAATTTTTGCATCTAGGTAAATTTAAGATGTTGGGGTTTGGGCTTAATGTGTGTGTGGTTTGTGCTTAAGGTGCGTTGGTTGTGTGCTTAATATAAGTAGTTGTTGAAACTTAAGGTGCGTGGGGTTTGTGCTTAAGGTGCGTGGGGTTAGTGCTTAATGTGAGTAGTTGTTGAAACTTAAAGTGTGTGAGTTTTGTGCTTAATATATGTGAGTTTTACGCTTAAGGTGCGTGTGTTGTGTGCTTAAGATGCGTGATTCGTATGCTTAAGGTGCGTCAATGTTATAAACTAATATGCGCGAAGTTAATACTTAATGTGCGCCATTTTAATACTTAATGTGCGTCATTTTAATACTTAAGGTGCGTCCAACCGCACAACCACACGGAAAGCAATTTCCCGCACTTGAACCCTTCCCTATATATATATACTTTTGTTTTATTTTTTCTTCAAGGATAACACTTTTTTTGGTGGGATGTTCTAAAATAGAATATATGAATGTTTTTACGATATACAACATTATAATTTTTTATTTGGACGTAATTAAACATTTTACTTTTTTTTTTTCTCAAAAAAATATGATTCCGTACAAGAGAAAAACTAAACCAGAGTATGAAGACACTTTCTAATCGATAATCCACTAATAACAAATTTTAAGTTCTTTTTGTCTGCTAAGTTTTTAATAAATAAATCCTTCTAATAATATTTGCTTAGATAACTTAGGAAATGTTTGGTAAACACTAAATTTAAATTTTGGTACACATGCTTTTGAATAAATTTTAAATTTGTAATTATATTCTTATGATCCTTCACCGGTTAGAACTTAGAAGGAGTGGATCTAAGAATTTTTCTAAATGGGGCGAAGTTCAAATGATTCAAGAAAAGTGTTGTAATATATAATATCAATATTAAGGAACAACCAACTAGATTACCTAAATATTAATATTAATATCAATATATAATTAAGTTGATTTATTCACGGATTCTCTCCCTAATTCTAGGGTTTCTCTCTCAAATATTCTCCCTAGAATCTAGGGTTTGGCTTACCTTGCATGCGAACGGCGAACAGACAGCGGGATCTGCAACGATGGATGTTCAGGCGATCATTGCTTCAACTGCGGACATTAGTTTGGAAGAGGAGGAGCAGGGAGTACGGTTCGAAGAGGAGGTTTTCGGTGGTGCGCAACAGGTAGCGGAACGGCGTTCATGGTCATTAGTAGGCCGCTTCCTTACCGACCGGAATTTGAAGGTGGATATAATGAAGCGTGTGATGGCTTCAGTATGGCGTCCGCTTATGGGGATTGAGATTGCAGACGTACTCCCCAATCTGTATCTCTTCACTTTCTTCGACGAGGCGGATATGCGAAGGGTGGTTGATGAGGGCCCTTGGGCGTTCGAAAACGCTACGTTTCTATGCCACGAACTGAAGGCTGATGAAGACCCGACACAGGTGGTGCTAAATACCGTAGAATTCTGGCTGCAGGTTTACGATATTCCCCCGGGTTTCCGTACGGTGAAGGTTCTTGAACGAATTGGAGACTTCGCCGGGGTTTTCTTAAGCTACGATGAGCGAAATTTTCAAAGGCCTTGGACTGCGTTTTACCGGGTACGTATTACTCATGATGTCACTACTCCGTTAAAACGACGTATGAAAATGATCTTAAGGGATGGGACATGGACTTGGATTAATTTTCGTTATGAGAGGTTGCACATGTTTTGCTTTTTTTGTGGTATTATGGGGCATACGGACAAGTTCTGCTTAGCGGCTCGTCGGTCTTTATTAACACCGGAGCAGTTTCCTTTTGGTCCAAGTCTGAGAGCGGGGGGTAACAGTCCGGCAAAGGTGTTGGGCGAGAAGTGGTTTAAGCTGGGGCAAGAGAGGAGGAGGGAGATTGGGTTTGGAGATGGTGGTTCGGGACAGCGTGGTATGGCAGTGGGTGGCCAGGCAGTGGTTGCGGCTGGGGGTAGGGCAGTGGGGTTGGGTGTTGGCGGGCAGAATGTTTCGGGTGAGGGTGGTGGTGGGCAGCCGGGGTTGGTGAGGGAGGAGGGGGTTGAGGGGGAAAATGTGGGGGTAAGAGTGGATCCTAAAAGACGGAGGACGGAGGGTGGATTGGAGGGTATGTGTGTTGATTCTGATGCATCTTGTTTGGCGGAGCCTGGAGTTCAGGCCCGCCAGTCTCAATGAGTACCCTATTTTGGAACTGCCGTGGCTTGGGCAATCCACGGACAGTTCATGAGGTGGTGGGCCTTGTGTCCAGGAAGAAGCCCGAGTTTGTGTTTTTTATGGAGACGATGGTGGGGGGGATCATGCGGAGAGGCTCCGTGTGAAACTGGGGTTTGAGGGGTGTTTTAAGGTGGATAGCGTGAGACGGAAGGGTGGTCTTTGTTTTCTTTGGCGTCGAAATAACTGTGCTAGGCTGTTGAACTATTCCCAGAATCATATTGACTTGGAGGTGTCTTTGCTGAATGGGCGCCCCTGGAGGCTTACGTGTTTTTATGGCTACCCGAATAGGGATAGAAGGAGAGCTTCATGGGATTTCTTAAGGTTACTCAAAGGTGCTCCTGATTTGCCTTGGGTGGTTTTAGGGGATTTCAATGACATTCTTATGAAGTCTGAGAAGAGGGGTAGGTTGCCGCATCCTAATGGTTTGTTGGAGGGGTTTGGGGATGCACTGGATGATTGTGGCCTAATGACTTTACCTATGGTGGGGTACCCATTTACTTGGGAACGCTTCAAGGGGACAGTGGATTGGGTGGAGGAGAGGTTGGATAGGGTGGTGCATGTGCGGACTGGCATGAGCTCTTTGATCGAGCGAGGGTGTTTAATTTACAGACAGACTCGTCGGATCATTCGGCTCTTTTTTTGGATATTTATGGGGTAGCGCCATCTATCCGGTCGCGGGGGTTTAAATTTGAAAATGCTTGGCTTTTGGATGATGGCTGCAGGGCGGTGGTGGAGGATGAGTGGTCTGTTTCGGCTGGGATGGGCCTCCAGGCTAGGCTTGAGTCATGTGGCCGGGGGTTGCGGAGATGTGGGGGAGAGCGTCACCATAGGTTTGGGAAGCGGATTGAGGAGATAAGGAGGGAGATGGGCACTTTACGGGGCAAGTCTGATTCAGGCTCCTTGGCTCGTTTTAGGCTCTTGGATGGCACTCTGGGGTCAGTTCTGGCGCAGGAGGAGGCATTCTGGAAACAACGGGCTAAGCAGCATTGGCTACAGGGGGCTGATAGAAGGAGGAAGAACGGTATTGAGAAACTGAAAGATGAGGGGGGTGCCTGGCATGAGGGTCAGGCTTTGAGTGCTTTGATAGCTGATTATTACAGGAATGTTTTCACTTCAGGGGGAAGTCCGGGGCCTTTTAATCTTGACACATTACATGCCCGTGTTACACCGCAACAGAATGATGATCTATTACGACCTTTTCAGCCGGATGAGGTGCGAGCCGCTTTATTTGCTATGGGGAAGGACAAATCACCGGGACCGGATGGAATGAATCCGGGTTTCTACCAATCCTTCTGGAATGTTGTGGGTAAGGATGTCACTGACTTTGTTATTGATTGTCTATCTTGTGCTTCTTTTCCCCTTGCTTTGAATGATGCCAATATTGTATTGATTCCAAAGAAGTGTAATCCGGAGTCAGTGTCTGACCTAAGGCCTATTGCGTTATGTAATGTTTTATATAAGATTATGGCCAAGATGTTAGCTAACCGAATGAAGCCGCTTCTGGAGGGTTTAATTTCTGACTCACAGAGTGCCTTTCTCCCGGGTAGGCTAATTTCAGACAATATCCTTATTGCTTCCGAGGTTGGTCACTATCTGAGAAGGAAGCAGTTGGGACAGGTCGGATGGGCAGCCCTTAAGCTGGACATGGCTAAGGCGTATGACAGGATGGAGTGGCCTTTTGTTAGGCAGATGCTACTCGGGTTGGGTTTTGATGAGAGGTGGGTGCAGTTGATTATGTTATGTGTCCAGACAGTACGGTATAGAGTCCTGGTGAATGGTTCCCCAACTGATGAGTACCCACAAGGGGTCTAAGGCAGGGTGACCCCCTTTCTCCTTATCTTTTTATAATATGCGCGGAGGGTTTATCTTTGCTGTTACAGGATTCTCAGGCTAAGGGCCTTATTCATGGCTGTAGGGTGGCCCGGGGGCTCCTCCAATATCACACTTGTTTTTTGCAGATGATAGCCTCCTGTTCTTTAAAGCTAATCTGCAGGAATCCTTGGAGGTGAAGAGATGTCTTGGTTTTTATGAGGCTCACTCTGGGCAGGCGGTTAATTTCAATAAGTCAAGTGTCTCTTTCAGCCGTAACACTAGCGGAGATGTCCGGAACCTTGTTGCTCAGACTTTGGGAGTAAGCCATGCTGAGGATTTTGGTAAGTATCTGGGTCTGCCTTCGGTTATTGGAAGAAATAGGAAGGTGGTTTTTGCATATATAGAGCAAAAGTTGAAACAAAGGTTTGGCTCTTGGAACAAGCGTTTGTTATCCAGGGCTGGTAAGGAGGTCTTATTGAAGAGTGTAGCGCAGGCCATGCCTACTTACACCATGAGTATCTTTTTGTTACCTCTAACTTTATGCTCTTCTCTCGAAAGATTAATGAACAGATACTGGTGGGGCCGAAATGACAGGGAGGATGGTATCCACTGGTATGCCTGGGACAGAATGTGTAAGCCTAAGCAGTATGGTGGCATGGGGTTTAAACGCTTGCATCAGTTTAACTTGGCATTGCTAGGTAAGCAGGGGTGGCGGTTGCTGACATGTCCAGACTCTCTTGTAGCCCGGGTCTTTAAGGCAAGGTATTATCCTACTACTTCTTTCTTTGATGCTGTCATAGGAGGCAATCCAAGTTATGTCTGGCGGAGTATAATGGCTAGTCAGGAGCTGGTGAAATCGGGGTGTAAGCGGCGTATTGGTAACGGCAGATCCACGCAGGTCTGGTCCCATCCTTGGCTGCCAGGTACTCAGGGGACTCTTGTACCCGCAAGCCAGTCGGGTATAATTCACAATATGTTGGTCTCGGATCTTATTGATGTTGACTTGTGCTCATGGAATATTCCTTATGTTCAATAATTGTTTGATCCGCATGTTGCGTCTCAGATAGTGCAGTTGCCTGTTAATTTAGTGCATGATGATGTGTGGTACTGGGAAGGAGATTTACGGGGCTGCTATTCGGTAAAGGAGGGTTATAAGCGGCTTGGGGAAATCCATGTACACGGCTCGGCGGTTTGGAACGGAATTTGGAGGCTAAACATACCTCCGAAATGGAAAAATTTAATGTGGAGAGCTCTTTCTAATATTTTGCCCACGCTTGATAATTTAATTAAAAGACGAGTGGATTTATTGAATATTTGCCCTGCTTGTGGTTTGTTAGAAGAGAGTATTATGCATATTTTCTGTACCTGTGAATATGCTTCTCGTGTTTGGATTGCTTCTCAGCTCCCGAAACCCCAGATTAATGGTTCTGATTTTATGCATTGGGCAGAGTTATGGCTGGGTGGTGCGGCTGGTTATTCACGTGAAACACAGGGGATGATGTGCGGTCTCATTCATGAGTTGTGGATGGCTAGGAACTCAACTGTGTGGGAGGCGAAGTTACCTTCCCCTCAGGTGCTGTGCCGGGTCTTTGCAGCGAGATGGGCTGCGTGGAGTGACTGTGTGGCGAATAGTCCAGCGCGGCAACCAAGGCAATTGCACACACCTTCGGCTCAGGGTATTACATGCTGTGTGGATGCTGGTTTTCACGGTCCTGGACATGCCGCTGCTTTTGGCTTCATTGTGAGGGAGAATGGTGTTTTTGTAGCTGCGGTGAATGGCCCGATGGTGTGTCCTTACAACCCCCTTATGGCAGAAACGATGGCGGTGTGCGAAGCTCTATCATGGCTAAAGGATAACGGCTATTCGACGGCTAAAGTTTACAGTGACTCTTCAGTTCTTGTTTCATGTCTATGTAGCAGTAGCTCATTTCGTTCCTATGTTGGTTTTAGTTTGCTTTCATGTTTTCGTTTACTTTCTTCTATGCCTGATTCTCAGATTAGTTTTATTTCTAGGGTCGCGAATCAAGCGGCTCATTCTTTAGCAAAGCATGTAATTGCTAGTTTGTCACGATCCACGTGGAGGAATGTTCCACCTCCATTTATTTTGCCTGATATGGCTAATGAAATATAGTTGGTCTTGGTTTTCAAAAAAAAAAGATTACCTAAATATTTAGATTACCTAAAAGATTCAATTTACCCAACTCTCAAATAAATCATTAATTATTTGATATTATTTTAAGTTAATTATATTAATAATAAATCACAATAAATTTTTGGTGTAAACCACGAGGTGAATTAATACCTGGTTTGTTACGAATCAATAAAAAAAAGTTAATATACAACTAATAATTTTGAAATGTTAATAAAAAATATAAGTGAAGGTTGACAAAATAAGCGTAATCTACAATTCAAATTAATATATTTTTTTCCTGAATAAAATTTTTAAAGAGAAAAATCCAATAATATGTTGGCACGTTAATATTCGGCTCCGTTCCGCGTTTAGTGAGTTTAAACCGTGAAGAATCTAGGATTGTATTGTACAACACATTACACATCATCTACATATACATTTGTACAAACAACGTTGCGGCAGTTGGCTTTGGACTTGAGGTTTCACACCTTTCTACACCTCTCTCACTCACATTTCCTAATCATCAAAACTCTCTTTTTAATCTCTCTGCCTTTTTCTTTCTGGGTTTACTGTCACATTACTGGATTCTGATTCTTGTTGTTGTTCTTCTTCTTCTTCACTCAACTCCTATATATATACTACTGTAATCTCTTTATTTGGGGTTCTATCTTTTTTTCTCCTTGAGCATAAACCCCATTTCAAGAATCACCTTTTCTTGTCTTCTCAGCAAATTAAAGGGTGCATTGCTCTGAAATTAGTTTGTGTAAAAAGTAAAACCCAGAACGAAGAATCACTACTTCTGGGCAATTTCACAGTTTGATAGCAGTGAAAAGATCCGATCGATCGATCTTTATTCCCAGACAGACTTGTATATAGTTTGAATCAACACAAGATCCGTTCTTTTCTAGGAAAAATATAATATAATGTTTAGGATTGGGATTTGTTGTTGTGTATTAGTGGTTTTGTTAAGTAGTGGTGTTGAGGGGTTGGGGGTGAACTGGGGAACCATGGCGAGTCACAAGCTGCCGGCGAAGACGGTGGTGCAGATGCTGAAAGACAATGGGATTGAGAAGGTTAAACTGTTTGATGCGGATCAGTCCACAATGAGTGCTCTTGCAGGGACAGATATTGAAGTCATGGTGGCCATACCTAATGACCAGCTTCTTGCTATGAATGATTATGACAGAGCTAAGGATTGGGTCAAACGCAATGTCACTCGCTATAACTTCAAAGGAGGTGTCAACATCAAGTATGTATATATGCTTCCCCTTTACTTTGTTTGTTTCCCTTTTTGAAATTATTTAGTTGTCATTACCAAGTATTTTACTTGCTTCAAGTGTCTCTGATCTGTGGAATATATATATATTTTACATCAAGTTCTGGGGATTTTATAATTCAAATTAACAAAGACTTATCACCCCACTGCCATTGCCACTCATTGAAGCTTGCTTAAGAGTTCTCTGTGATTGTTTGAATGAATTCAATTCAACTTCTTGTGAATCTTGCACTAGTTATCCATATGAACTTAAAGGGTTGTGTTTCTTTCACTTCATGGTCTGCTTCAATTCATTAGGCTTTATTATATCTATATCTATGACAAACACTTTGCTTTACTGAAAAAAGAAAAAAAGGAAAGAAAAAGTTCATGGGAGTATCTATATATTTTTATGTTTTGTTTTTGTTTGTTGCAAAAAGCCATCCTGGTTGGTTGGTGTTTCTTCATTAAAAAAGAAAGCTATGCAATCCAGTAATATAGTATTTAATGTGTATGCATAATTTGTGGATCTGAGTAGAGGGTTGGGTGCTGTTTATTGGTTTGAAAATTAATTTTGGGATCCCCACATTCCAATGTGCATTGTTCAGTTTCTCTAATCTGAATTTTTTAGGAAATATAACTTAAGACATATACATTATTGCTTCAATTAAGTCTTATTTTGACATCACAAACCAATCACTTCTCTTTCATTTAGATGATAAGTTGAACTATCGGTGGGTGTATATTATATACAAAACTTATTCATATTCGGATATATTACATTATGTGATGATAAAAATTTCGTAGAACTATCTGTTTCGCTTGAGCCTGTAGTATACATAGGTTGAAAACACTAACATTTGGTAAAGTAAAGGAAAGGTGTTATCTAGTGGAGCGGAGCGTTTGTTAATAGTACATTGGCAGCCTTTAGTTTAACAATTGAGGGAGGTAAGAAGTAATCTTATTCTTGTCTTATGTGCTTGCTTGTATTCAAACAATAAAGTTACGAAAAGATTGATTTTTTCCTGTTAATGTGTTGCCTTTAATTTAGAAAACAGCCCCATTCTGTCAGTATCATGTGATCTGTGGGGCCAATGAAACCAATATTTTGTTCTGATTAGAAAGTTATATCTTTAATGGTAATGTTGAAAGTTGAAAGGAAGTAATGGGGCAGTTGTGTTTGCACAATTTTTCAAATATTAAGCATTCAATCTTTTATATAAAACTATTGTAATCTTGCTTGCAGGTATGTTGCAGTTGGTAATGAGCCTTTCCTCACGTCTTATAACAACTCATTCATTAACACAACCTTTCCGGCACTTCAAAACATTCAAAATGCTCTAAATGATGCCGGAGTCGGGGACAACATTAAGGCAACAGTACCGTTAAATGCTGATGTGTACAACTCGCCTGAAGACAATCCTGTACCCTCTGCTGGTAGATTTCGGCAAGATATCGGTCAACAGATGAACCAGATTGTTCAGTTCCTGCACCAGAACAATGCGCCCTTCACGGTAAACATATACCCCTTCTTAAGTTTGTATGCGAACGAACACTTCCCGGTCGACTTTGCGTTCTTCGATGGGGCGGCCAATCCGATAGTGGATAACGGGATCCAATACACTAATGTGTTTGATGCCAACTATGATACTTTAGTTTCGGCCCTAAAGGCAGCTGGGTATGGCGACATGCCGGTTTTGGTTGGGGAAGTGGGATGGCCAACGGAAGGTGACAGGAACGCCAATGTGAACTTGGCCTATAGATTCTACAAAGGACTTTTACCGAGACTAGCGGCCAACAAAGGAACACCCCTTCGGCCCGGATACATGGAGGTATACTTGTTCGGATTGATTGACGAGGATATTAAGAGTATAGCGCCCGGTAACTTTGAGCGCCACTGGGGGATCTTCAGGTACGACGGGCAGCCAAAGTTCCCAATGGACCTTACGGGGCAAGGACAAGACAAACTTCTCGTGGGGGCGCAAGACGTGAAATACCTCGCAAATAAATGGTGTATGCTCAGGCCGGACGCCAAGGACTTGGGCAAACTTGCGGACAACATTAACTACGCCTGCACGTTTTCAGATTGCACGGCGCTTGGATACGGGTCTTCGTGCAACGGGTTGGATGCCAACGGGAATGCATCATACGCATTCAATATGTACTTTCAGGTGCAGAATCAAGATGAGTTCAGCTGCAACTTTCAAGGTCTGGCTATGGTGACTGACCAGAATATATCTCAGGCAAACTGTAACTTTAGCATCCAGATAGCCACCTCCTTCTCACCCGAGTTGTTGTTGCCGGGGATATTGGTGCTTCTAGCAGGCTTTGCAGTTTTGTTGTTATTATGATCATCAATCTCTCTGTAGATACTTCATTCGCAGTACTATAATTTTTTTTAATGGAGTCATTGTATTTCATACTGCTGGGAGTAGATACTGTTGATTATTATTATTAATAAATTATGTTTTTTTTTTTTTTTCGTTGTGAAGTAAATTTTTTGTTTCACCGTGAAGAGCTGTTACAGAGTATTGAGCGGGGAGGAAACAAACCAAGCATGGACTACCCTCTGGAAACTGTCGATCCCACCTAAAGTTAAAAAAAATTTCTGGCAGTTATGTTCAAATTGCCTTCCTACCAATGACAGACTTCGTAAAAAGCATTAACTGCGACATCCAGTGTGTCTTTTGTACCGATGGAACTGAATTTTATCACATCTATTCCTAGACTAGATTGTGCATATGAAAATGCATGTTGGCAAGATCAGGACATCCAACTATAGGGGTATGGAGGTGTTGTATATAGTGATTGGCTCAACCAGCTTATGGATGACTTGGTATGTATGTTCATTATGACCTGCTGGGATATATGGAATCAAAGGAATAAAGTTCTATGGAACAACAAATCTGTCCAATCGTACTCTTCCATGGTTCGAAAGGCACAAAGCTTTCTACAAGACTGGCGAGATGCAAATGAAGATCCTCGCAGTACACAAAAAGCCTCTCAACCGTTCCAAACTACTTGGTCGAAGCCGAAAACCATTATGGGCTTTGGATGGGTCTTAAGAGATGATACCGGCAGCTTCATTGCCGCGAAAGGGGTCCCTTGGAAAGGTTCTAGAGAAGCTGAAGCAATTGCTATTCGGGAAGTCTTGAGTTGGTTAAAAGGTCATAGTTTTGACAATGTGCAAGTGAAAACAGACTCACTGCAAGTTGTTCAAGGCATCAAAGCACCAGATGGGGATTCATCTTTTCATCTTGTTCTCAGGGATATCAAAAACTTGCAGTGTATTTTCTCAAATTTTTGTATCGTTTGCAAAGCAATCCGTGAATTGGACAACTCACGTTATAACTAGGTCATCCATTTCTATGTCTAATTGCTCAGAGTGGTTTTCTAACCCTCCAAACTTCATATGTAAACATCTTGTCTTCTGATCTTTATTAATGATATTAACTTAATTTCTAAAAAAAAAAAAAAAAAAAAAAAAAAAAAAAAAAAAAAAAAAAAAAAGAAAGAAGCTTGTTAGAAATGGGAATGTGTACGCCTTTACCATTTTGGCCTCTGTAATTTAACATTAGCAATATTAGTACAAGGCATCTATCTTTAGAGGGTAAAATGAGAAGTAGGATATCCCAGAGCCCAGAGAGATTCACAAAGGAAAATGCTACTTGGACTCTCTAACTCTACTCCTAACTTTTATTCCCTCACTTAAAACTTTTGATGTAGACATTCTGCATAAGATCGTGTAGATTTTTTCATCACACAAATGTAAAGTGAATGGAATGACAACAAATCCATTTCTCAAAAATATTTGTCCATTCTCATTGACTAAACCACAAAGAAAAATAAGGGAGGGGGGCATACAACAAGGATCAACTCTAAGCAAATGATCCACAGTGAAGCAGTTACCATTTGCTCCGGAAAAGCATGTGCCCCAGACTCATATTCCCAACCCAAAATTGTGGCGCCAAGATACTGCCACCAAGAAAATATGTCGAAAACAACATTATGACCATTCTGATACACCAACTCTGGAACATTCAAGACAATCTAGAAGAGTACGATGTTGATTCTTTGTGACCATTGACTGCAAATGCATCAAAAAAGAGGACCAGACCTCACAATCCGTGACAGCAAATCAAGAAAAATGGCATCCTGAAAGTTGAATCAATGGATAGTTAGGCATAAGAAGAGAGAACAATGGTTGCCAATTTCTTTACAAAAAAAAAAATTAAAAATTGCACCATATGGAAAAAAAGTAGAAGAAATTTGCATCAGGTATGATGACCATCTTACTAAAATACAGGACATATAGAAATAATAGTCAAATAGAAGTCTAAAAGAATTGTGTAAAATAAAGAATGTATAAGAAATGTTCAATAAATTAATCTTCCATATAAGTAAATTTATGAGTAATAGAATTTTACAAATTGGCTACCATATGCATATAAAAATGGAGTTAAACATGGCTGCAGGGGGAAATCTCCTAATTCCTGTTGTTCACCTAGATTTTTCTTCCACAAATGTCAACATATTATCATTGCCCTATTATACAAGATAGAGAATTTAAATAGGCATAACAATCTGGTACAAAGTACCATTTTTAACTGTCATTTATTTCTCTTTAAGGTTGTTTAGCAGGAAGGTAATTTTGAACAATAACATTGGCCAAACCAAGAAAAGGAAAGAAAATGCATGAACTTAATCTAGCAACAGAAATCACTATGATAGAAAACAAACAGTTATCAGATCTTAATCACCATTTAATGCATAGGAAGTGAATCATTAGTTGGATAGTATAACAAGGTAATTATGCAGAGAACTTATATTCCAAGGAAAACCATACCATGGAATGTCTTCAGACTCAAACTATTGACAGATTATAAGAGTTGCAAAGCTGAAGTAATGCCGCCTGATTTCCTGGGAGAAGATTTTCCCTTATAACTTGGGTGTACTGACCAGGGGAACGAGCAGAGAGATTAGCCAATGATGCAACCAAAAATTGCTTTGGATCCTGTATATCAATCAGTGGGTCCTCTTCTCTCTTCCCAGCATTGTATAGATGAACGAAAGCAGCACTATATCCTGTCTCCCCAAAGTCTGGAACTTCAGGCTCCTCTTCTACTCTCTCATCCTCAGGCTTAGAGAGAAGAGTAACTATACTATCCAGCATCTTCCCCCAAAGCCCAGAATCCAATAATGATGGAGATTCACAGATAAGTTTAGTTGAAGCAGCTGCAGTTAATTTGAGCTCAATTGACCCAGTGATTGACTTAAGGTTAGGTACCCAAAATTGTTCCACAATTGTGCGAAATAAATTTGCCTGAACAGCATCAATTGAAGCTGCAAGATTTTGACAGCCATGCTTAATCAGGAAAAGAGACATAAATATCACAAGATTCTTCACAAACTTCACTGTTCTTCTTTCCTGCAGCCGTTTAAATAGGGCAGCCCAAATATGGCCTACGTATGGTGAGACAACATCAAACCCCAGGTTTTCAATGACCGTATTCAGCACATAGAATCCCTGTTCATCAGTGCTTGGAGAAATTATCAGTGTATTAAATATCCCAAGGACACTTGACAACCTGCCCTGCTGATTAAGCTCATTAGGTGCTTTCCGAAGAAATGCCTGGAGCAATCGCACAAGAGCAGGAACATTTGCAGACTTTTTCCAGGAATCAGGTAAAAGGAGAATCTCAAATATCTGCATGTAGTGTTGTGGAATGGGAGGCCTGTTCAACTCAACAAGCTGAGCCAGCAGTTGAAATGCATAAGGGAAGAACTCACTCACATCTCTCTCCAAGATCATCTGGAGGCTAGGGAACAAGCTTTCTTCAAAAGCAGATATAAGAGAAAGATCCCTCTCACAGGCCCTTCTAATAAGAACAGCCACTGATTCAAAGAGGTAGTGGTTGAAAACAGGATTTTTTGGATTCTGACAGACTATGTTCAGGACTTGCGTGAGACCAGCTATGGAAGGTAAAGCAACCTCACGAGAAATTTCTGCAGCACCAAGCACTCGCATAATACACTTCATTATGTATTGATTCTCTTCAGACTCTGGCTTCTTCAAGGCATTAAAAAGATTGGTCATCAACACTAGCAAAAATGGACTGATATCAGATGCTGTATACCTGGCTCTTGCACCATCATCTTTGACCAGCAACAACTTCTCAATGCAACTTGCGGCATAAGAATGAACCACATTGGAGTCTGCACCAAGGAAACGAACAACATCCGGAAGCAGTGCTAATGCAATGGGTTTTGATATCTGATTTCTAAACATAGTAAAGAACTTCAATGCACCCGCCTTCAATATTGGAAAGGCATTCACATCCTGACTTTGGAGCTCTGGAACAATAACAGATGCAAAAAAGTTCTCCACATCTACCAGGTCAGTTGACACTGAAGTTCCACCTGCCTTTTTAATCGCAAGGGAGACAACCAAATAGATAGCACAGTCTTTGAATTTCCAATTTGCAGCAGGATTCTGAGTAAACATGGCTAAACAATTCTTTATCTGAAGGGATACCTTCTCAGTCACTTTTTCCTTATAATAAGTTGCAATTCCCTTAAGTAGTTCACAAGCAATCCTCCTCCTAGTGTCAAGATCACTTCCTTCCATGTCCCTCCTTATGAACTCAACATAATTCATTTCAAACAACTCCTCATCTTCATCCCTAAGCATTACATTAGGAATGACAATACTTTGACAAATCTGTTCTTGAATGTCGTCTCTTGCAAACAATGTGTGATGAACACTAGTGCTAACAATTGTCAAGAACTTGATTGCAGTGACAGTCAGCTGTTCCCGGCTGGAAGATGCCGATGAAGCTACAAGAAGACTCCATACAGCCTCCACAAATCCGCTCAAATACCCTTGAAACAGTTCTTCCTCCTTCTCCATATAAAGGCTAATGTTTTCACAGACAGCAGATCGTAGATCATCAACAACTACAAGCCCATCATTGCTACTATCCTCAAGAGCAGGATACTTCACAGTAAGATATTTCTTAAACTCAACCATCCATTCATTCATATGGTCCTCAAAAAATTCAGGCAACTCTTGAAAATTCAAAGAATAGAATACCCTACAGCACAACTTCTGAGACTCTATGTATGGCTTAAGGGTCGCTGCAGTTGCAGACCCAGAAGCCACAGCCTGATCTATCACATTTGCAGTGCGCTTAAAAACTTCTAACAATGGCTTTGCAAAATTATCAAGGCAGTACTTAAGATCAAGGAGCAACTCATTGGTCTTAAACTGATACTGAAACTTATTAAACAAGGAATTCAGAGAAGCTAATACCCCATTAACAGATGCATAATCATTGGCCTGACTCAACTTGTCAAGACTCAAAACGAGCTCAGGCAACAAAGTCGGCCACGCTTTTGGAAAATCGTGCTTCCCAATCACAGTCAAAGCTTCACTGAGCTGAGACTGTATTCTCGGAGATGCACTAATCATCAACGAAACAATCAAACTTTTGATCTGCTCCTTCTCAGGGTCCGCAATTGGAGCCGGGGTCGGAGCATTAGGTCCAGAAGGAGACGGCGACCATCGAAACTTGAGGTGATTCTTAAAGTTCACAGCGGCCGCTTGTCGGATCTGCTCATCAACCGAAGGCTCAGCCACGAGGCGGAGCACGACGAGGCCATAGTTGAGCTTCTCAGCGGCCTCAGCGAGTCCCGCCTCAGCCTGGCGTCGAGGTTGGGGCATTGGAGATAGTGTGTTCAGGAAGCATTGGGAGAGGAATTGTACAGTTTCAGGGTTCCACTCCATATCAGTTTGAGCTTAAACAGTAAAGTGTATTCCTAGGGTTTTGCAGAGAATTTTCGAAACTGTAGTGAAATCTATAGGTATATAAGAGTGTAGCCAGAAATGGAGTTGAAGGAAATGAGAGAGAATATTGAATTTGTGAAATGGTGTAGATAGAAAGAAAGTACCACTGAGCGATCGATCGGCGCGCTGAGAGAGAGAGAGAGATAGTGGCTGAAGCGTTTGAACAATGTTGTAAAAAAGGAGGGATAATCGAAGGGGGGAAACGCAATTATGGAAAAGGGGCTGGGCCGTAGTGAATAGTACTTTCTTATTGGACTACTATATGGGCTTTATATTATAATAACTAGTATTTGTCCCGTGCGATGCACGAAAAATATGTTATAAAAATATACCTTATACGAGGTTTATTCATATATAAAATTTTTGTTATTTAATAATTATTATGTGTGAATTCCTATGATAAAATTTTGAACATAAATATATTTACAATTAAAATAATATTTAAGGTGGGTGATTACTACAAATCTTAAACTATATTAAAAATTTAGTACATAATATTTAATATTACAAATTTTTAAGAACTTAGTAAACTACAATAGTAATTGAATTACAATTTTAGAGTCACCACGGATCAAAATTTTTAGACCTTTGAGATTTCTAACTCTAGATGTAGCAACATACAATTGACTTTTAAAGACCAAAATCACAATCTTAGTTCGAACATTGATTTTTTCTTCCAAATACTATCAAATTAAATGTGTAATCAATAAAAGATGATAACTAATAATTCAAGAATATAATCTTACTGTTACTAAGCCTACTTCAAGTCAATTAAGTTGGAGAGTGTTGTTGGATAGTATCTGATGAACCCACGAATAATGCATCTTTGTCTTCGTATGCCTCAATATGCACATCAACAATCTTAAATATTAGGCTGCCTAGCTATGTCATATATTAATTTCAAACTTATGAACTTTGGGGTTGCATGCAATAAAAAGTATATTTTAAATATACTAAGGGTACATTATATATGTATGTAAGGTACTTTCAATATAAAAATAATGTATTTTTAATATATTAAAAATGTATTTGATATTCATAATCCATACAATTATGTGGACCATCGTTCACACAATAATTTGTCAGTAGAAATTGAAATATAAATAAATATAATAAATAAATAAATAAATAAATAAATAAATAAATATATATATATATATATATATATATATATATATATATATATATATATATTAGAAACTGTCAGTGAAAATTATTATCATTATTATTATTGTAATTATTATTATTATTATTATTATTATTATTATTATTGTAATTGTTATTATAATTAACAATATTATTACCACTTAATTTTCACAATAACAATATTATTATGCTCTTGTGAAAATTAAATGTTGATTTCACCATTTAATTTTCACAAGACCATATGACTTTATTATATATATAGGGTTAATTAATTAATTAATTAATTAATTAATTAAACAAATAAATAAATAAATATATTTATTTATTTATTTATTTACATTCAAATAGGAACTCTCTCTAGCTATTTTGGCTAGTTTTCTTTCCGCCTTGTTCTCATAACAAGTCTTCTTCTTCCTTGCTTTTCTTCTCCCTTCGTGTGTGTTTCTCTAACAGCACGTTTGGTTCACGGAATGAATTTTGAGGTAATAGGAATGCTAGTCCATAAGGAATGGAATATGCAAGGAATAGATTAGGAACTATATTCTATTGTTTGGTTCACGGAAGGAATAGACTTTAGGAATTATATTACCGTGTTTGGTTGGTTTAAGGAATAGAAATGAAATATGTTTTAAAAGTCATAAATACCCTTATAAAAATATGTGGTGGTGTCGATGGTGGCGATGTTGCTGGTGGTGGTAGTGGCGGCAGCGACGGCGGCGGCAGCGGTGGTAGCGGCAGTGGTGCCGATGCTGGTGGCGGTGGCGGCGGCGGCGGTGGTGGTAGCGGTGGGTGGTGGCGGTGCTGGTGCTGGTGTTGGTGGGGCTGGTGGCGGTGGCAGCAGTGGTGGCGGCGGTGGTGATGGTAGCGACGGTGGTGGCGATGCTGGTGGTATTGGTGGGGTGGTGGTGCTGGTGGCGGTGATAGTGGCGGTGGCAGCGGTGGTGGCGGCGGCGGCGGTGGTAGTGGCGGTGGTGGCGGTGCCGGTGGTGGTGTTGGTGGGGTGGTGGTGCTGGTGGCGGCGGCAATGCTGGTAGCGGTGGTGGCGACGGTGGTGGTGGCTGCGGCGGTGCTGGTGGTGTTGGTGGGGTGCTGGTGGCGGTGGGGGTGGTGGTGCTGGTGGTGGTGACGGGGGTAAAATAGGAAGTAGAAATTTTAGGCTATTCTTGAGAACTCAGTAATAGCCTAATACCAGGGGAGCCCTAGTAATAGCTATCACCTTATTTGGGGGAATGGGGTATTATCGGGAATATTATTCCCGGTAATAGAAGCGGTTACCAAACAAAGGAATATGGATATTACTGGAATGCTATGCCATTCCCGACCTTTTCCGTGAACCAAACGGGCCATAATAGATTTCCAAGTGCAGGAAGCACAAAATCCCCATGCTCCTCCCCCTAGTTCACCAAATATTTCACCTCAACAACCTCCCATATCCCCCCGATCACACTTTACCATAACAACCGCCCTTACTCCAAGACCTTGAACAGGCATGGGCTACTTTATCCATCCACGATTCTGACTTGTTCTTTGATGAGGAGATCAGTCTTGAAGATGAAGGAGATTTTTGTTTTGCTCTTGTGGGCAAGCTTCTCACATACAAGATTATCAAGTTTAACTTTATGAAGGAGACTATTGTGACAACCCAAAATATTTTCTTTCAAAACTCCTATTTTATCCAATTTCAAAATAAAATTATTTATATAATTTTACTCCTACGATAATTTTTTAAATGGTGTGTGAATAAAATATTATAAACTCCTTATTTCAAATGGTTCAACATGAAATATTATATAATTATTTATGGTTTTAAAAGCCTTATTTAAGGGATATATTTATTTTCTAAAATCTTGACCAAAAGTCTATCTGAGAGGAACTTGAGAAATTCATAAACTAGTTTTTAACTCAAATTTGACTTCAAAATGAACCCAACTTATTTATGAAATTTTACATCATACTAGTATTTGCACCCGTGCGATGCACGGAATGGATTTGTTGTAATATATTAAAAAAATATAAATCGATATATATAATTATTTAAATTAGAACATTAAATATTATATAGTGCAGCTAAAGATATAATTTGAATCGTTTATATATTTTGATATTATCATTGCTTGAATTTGTGTAAATAATTGCTCAAATTAATAGCTAATGTCTAGATGTACGCATGCGG